GGAGAGAGAGAGAGAGAGAGAGAGAGAGAGAGAGAGAGAGAGAGAGAGAGAGAGAGAAGGCAGAGGAAATCCTCAACATTTGCATACGTAATCGTATCTTTTAAAATGAGTTTTCATGTGTAAAGTAACAATACCCACCCTCATCATATGACATAATTTAATTTCTGCGTAGATTACCTTTTCTTTTCAGCTAACTTAACGTAGTGACTCGTTCTATCTTTGACCTACGAGTCACTACGTTACGTTAGCTGAAAAAGAAAAGGTAATCTACTCACTGAGCAGAAATTAAATTATGTTTTATGATGTACAGCTTTAAGTAATAGTTGATCAGAAAGCACTACCACTCTGAAACAAATAAAGATCTAAGATATCTCACCGCTATTGTTTATTGCCCCAGCACCATTATTTCTAAGTGAAACCTTAACGCAATTTACTAGCCCATAAAATCTGTAGAGGTAATAAAGAAATAAGTGCAAAGCCTCACGCTGCTCATTCTTGTTTGAAGTCCGGCGCTGTTGTATGCTAAATAAAAGTAATGATCTAAGGCAATACTGATTTATGATGTCGCTGTCCTTCTTGGTATTATGCTATTAGTCTTAGAGAAGTATAATTTTACTATCATGGTTGTTGACAAGGGTCTTGGTAAGATGTTGTTGCTTCTGACTTTAAGTTTGAATTTACTTTTAAACTTCAACATGGCTGTAATGTGTATACGATGAACTCACACTCATACTTATTATGCTTTAATCACAACTTGGGCTGCAGAACAGGATGTAGGAGTCCTATAATAACACACTTACAAGCTAGAACGCATGCAGTTACAAGTGAGCACGTTCTGAGACAAGACATGCACACATACTTTTATGGAATGTATTCACATACACCACTCACACACACTCGTTTGCAAGGAAACTTACTTATAACGAGGCAATAGGGTGTTACTGAAAGACGTTGCTATTTCACGTTCTTTCTCAATAAATTAAATTCTCTATTACACAACATCTTGAGTGGCATAAAAAAGAACACTTTTGTTTTCAATTCTCTTCGTTAAAAAGAAATATCATATACTATTTCAAAATAATACCTCTTCCCCCATCCCCTCTCTCTCCCCCCTCTTTATCTCTCATTCTGTGAGTGTGTGTTTGTGTGTGTGTGTAAGTGTGCACTCTCTCTCTCCCCTCCCTCCCTTTCTCTCTCTCTCTCTCTCTCTCTCTCTCTCTC